AGGAGGACTCTGGGTTCTAATCTGAAATGAGCTAATAAATACAACTGGGTAAATTCACATCTGATGCAACTTCAGTTACTGTGACTGAGTTACACCATGGATGAATCTGGCCTATCATATGATAATAAACCAAGCCTCTTTGCTGGTTCAAAACAAAGCCTCCCTGCTGTGAAACGGAGTGATAAACAGATGTTGTAGCTGAACTTAACTTTTCTGGGTGAAGGACTGCAAGTTTGTACTGAGCACTGATTATATTCCCATACGTGAATATTCAGTCCCAGCTCCTGCAGCTAGTTACTCTGGAAATTAGGTTTCTGTACATGTTTTGCTTCTATGGAAAGATAATTTAATTTGACAGATTGTTTGCTAGACAAATTGAAGATGTTTCCGTCAGGTTGTTCCAATCCTCTGTCTGTGCGTGTGTGTTTTGTGTGCACGAGAGAGAGATTAGAGAAGTAGGGGACTAGAATTATTCTTATTCACACTCCGATTGAATATTCTATTCAAACTCCAACCTTTAAAAAAACAATCTGTTTAATTATCTGTTTTTTATTTCAGCTGCTGAGGACTGTTGGAATTTGGTAGCAGGGAACTCTCTTGAGTGTTTGGTGATTTTTTTTTGTCAAATACAGGAAACATTCAGTTGATTCTCTTCCATGGGAATTAGGTGATTCAATAACTTTTAAGGAAATAGGTCTTAGTAAAAATGGAGTGCCCATTGTGCTTGTATCCAAGCATGGAGGGAACACTCCTTTGAATCTCCCCTCTCCTGGGCAGCATTCCACACACACCTCCCTAGAACTTCAGAGCAGTGAGAATACATAGTAAAAAAGTCAGTTAGCTATGTAGTAAATCTATGTTATTATAAAAGTAGAACAGTCACACGCTGCATAGGCCTGCTATGTAGTAAATTGCTCAGATCTAGACTACAGTTATCTCTTGAACAATGTGTAGTAACAACATAGTATGTCTCCTGAGTTTACTCCCCTAGTCAATATTGTTCAATGCAACATGTAGTAAGTGGCAAAATAGGTCCCCCACCACTTAGTTACCAGGGCTGTAATAATGCCCACTGTGGGCAGCCAGTCTGGAAAAGCTAACCCTGTGTGTGTTCCCTATTACTGAGTCAATTTATTGTGGAATGAAATATGGGACAACAGAACCCTATAGTACATCGTGTTCTGTTCTGTGCCCTTAACAAAAGTTGAGAATCAGTTTGTTATCATTTAAATGGTTATTGCAATAATAGTCAGGCTTCAGGAAACTTCAGGCTCAACATTCATGCATTATTTTGAATGTTTGGATAACTTTAGGACCACTTATGTAGTTTTGCAAACAAAGATAACAAGATTAATCAAACCTCACATTTCAGAGTCCAAGCCTTTGTAGTATCAAGGAAATTACACTCCCTTCCCTGCATTGCATCCTTCCCAGTAAGCTATGGTCTCATACTAAATAGCTCATACTAAGATCTTATAGTAAGTACCTTCAGACACAAACCTGTGGAAGATGAGATTTACATGGTGCACTGAACATTACAGGAAATATGTATGTGCCTCTTATTGTGCATTCACTGAAGCAGTGATGCAGTTAGCATTTGTGCGCTACTTTATTGTCCTTCTTTGCAAAACTTAAAGGCAAATCAGGCCACTTTCACTAGATGATGGCCCCTTCTTTTACTGCACTTTGGAGACAACCAGAATACATTAAAGTAGACTAAATAGTTATATGTCTAGAAAAGCTCAGTTCATGAGTGACTGGTGCCTCCTGAACCTGGGGGGCACCTGCAGAAGCCACTGACCCTGTCAGGGAGGGCACCAGCTCTACCAACAGCATCAGTGTCAGCCATCAAGGGGCACGCGCACCCCCATGCAGCCCCTACCAGTCGCCTATGGCACAGTTGAGTCCACTCAGGCCTTCAGCTGGGATTAATAAAGCAAAATTAGGTCAAGAGTCTTGTCTAAAATCACCAATTAAAACATCAACTGTGTTCTGTAGACACAGAGCAATACTACACTGTGGATTTTAAACAGAATTTCATGACAGGGTCCCCTGTCCGGATGCTCTCCACCCCAGGGTGCTGAGGGAGCTAGCTGGGGTTATTGCAGGGCCCCTGGCACGGCTCTACGAGCGATCGTGGTGCTTGGGCCAGGTGCCAGACGATTGGAAGGTAGCTAATGTGGTCCCCATCTTCAAGAAAGGGAAAAGGGAGGACCCGGGCAACTATAGGCCCGTCAGTCTTACCTCAATCCTGGGGAAACTCTTTGAGAAGATCATCAAGGAGCACATTTGTGATGGGCCGGCATCAGAAATGATGCTCAGGGGCAATCAGCATGGATTTATTAGGGGGAGATCATGTCAGACCAACCTGATCGCCTTTTATGATCAGGTCACAAAGGCCATGGACGCAGGTGTCGCGGTGGATGTAGTCTTTCTGGACTTCAGCAAGGCCTTTGACACCGTCTCTCACCCCATCCTAATTAATAAACTAGGCGACTGTGGCATAGATGCCTACACAGTCAGATGGATTGCAGATTGGCTGAAGGGTCGCACTCAGAGGGTGGTGGTGGATGGATCATGCTCTACTTGGGGGGAGGTGGGTAGTGGAGTCCCCCAGTGCTCGGTCCTGGGGCCTGCGCTGTTCAATTTCTTCATCAGCGATCTTGATGTTGGGGTGGAAAGCAACCTGTTTAAATTCGCTGATGACACCAAAATTTGGGGGGAGGTGAGCACGCTAGCAGGGAGAGAGAGATTGCAGAAGGATCTGGATAGGTTACAGGGGTGGGCAAACAGGAACAGGATGTGTTTCAATACGGACAAGTGCAGGGTGCTGCACTTGGGTAGTAGGAACCAGCAGCACACTTATACGATGGGGAACTCCCTACTTGAGAGCACGGAGGCGGAAAGGGATCTTGGTGTCATTATTGACTCCAAGATGAACATGGGCCGACAATGCGAGGTCATGGTTGGCAGGGCTAACCGGACCTTGTCGTGCATCCACAGGTGCATCTCGAGTAGAGCCAGGGAGGTGATCCTCCCCCTCTATGCGACGCTGGTCAGGCCGCAGCTGGAGTATTGTGTCCAGTTCTGTGCGCCCCATTTCAGGAGGGATGTGGACAACATGGAGAGGGTCCAGAGGAGGGCCACCCGCATGATCCGGGGACAACAGGGCAGACCCTACAGTGAGAGACTGCGGGACCTGAACCTATTCAGCCTCCACAAGAGAAGGCTGAGGGGGGACCTGGTGACCGTCTATAAACTCACTAGGGGGAACCAGAAGGGTTTGGGGGAGACGCTGTTTCCCCTAGCCCCCGCTGGCATAACAAGGAGTAATGGGCACAAGTTGATGGAGAGGAGGTACAGATTGGACATCCGAAAAAACTACTTCACAGTTAGGGCGGCTAGGAGCTGGAACCAACTTCCAAGGGAGGTGGTGCTGGCCCCTACCCTGGGGATCTTTAAGAAGAGGCTGGATACCTACCTGGCTGGACTCATTTGAGTCCCGTTTTTTTGTTTAGGGTTCTTTTGTTGTTCTCCCGCCCTGGCGGGGGGGTCGGGCTAGAAGATCTATTAGGTCCCTTCCGACCCTAAAACTATGAAACTATGTTAGTAGTTGATGATTGCTGGACCTATCACCAACTCATCTACTCAGTTATGTTATTCAAACTGTCCCCCGAACAATGGCTACAGCAGAAGCAATGCTGATGGAACTTGAATCTGCAAGCGTCTTCATTGAACACCTTCAAGATGAAACTGGATGCTTATCTTGCTGGGATCCTATGACCCCAGCTGACTTCCTGCCCTTTGGGCGGGGGGCTGGACTCGATGATCTTCTGAGGTCCCTTCCAGCCCTGATGTCTATGAAATCTATGAAATCTATGACAGACTAGTGCTAAAAATTGGAAAAAAGATGGTATTGAGTTAGTAATACAGGAGAATACTAATGGCCAAATCTCTCCCTTTCTAATTGCCAGTTGCCATGTTTCCTTATGGTACTGACTCCTTTTTCTGTTTACTACCTCCTGACTATCTCAGTATATTTGGTGTCACTTAAGCAGTCTGGATAAAGTGTAAGTCTAATAACAGAATTATAATAGCATTGTAAGAGCACTGGATCAAGGATTGTACACACGTGTCAAATAAATCTTTTTAACTCCCATGAGGTGGTACTAATACTGTAATTTCTATAGATACGAGGTTGATGACCTAACAACCGAACACGGTCCTGAGACCAACACGGCTACAACCTACACCCCTGCAACAACCAAACACACATTCCTTTGGAGTTAGTGGAGTTACTCTAGGGATGAATCTGGCCCAGAAATTCTAAGGTCGTAAATGCCATCAATTTTCAGTGCTGCCAGTATAAGTTACAAATACACAGTACCTCACAATATCAGGCTCTGAATGATTTGTCTGCAAAGGACTTTGCACCTTCATCAAGATACTCAGTACAGATGACAGTGCTTACAACCTATCCTCATGTGGTGGCTGTGAGAGCACTTACAAGATCAGAACTCAGAAGGGAATTGACTTGGCTGCCAATCTTATGCTCACTCCATTAGTAACAGTAGATTCTTATTAGTTGTAGCTCTTTAAAAAGAAGGTACCACTGTCCCCATTTCACAGACAAGGACACCAAGACATAAAAAAAATCAAATGACTTGCCCAAAGTTACACAACAACTCAGTAGCAGAATTGAGAACCAAATGTATGTCCTCTAATTCCCAGCTGCATGCCCTTGAGGCCATGCTTGAACATGATGCCTTTAAATACTAGTTCCTCTTTTTACCTGTGTTATACTGCAGCATAACACTTCCCTATTTAATTCAAAACATACAGTTTACTTCTAGAGCCTAAGGAAAGGAATAATCCCAATAGTTCAGTTTGAGAGGGTTCACCTCTCACTTTCATCTTGCACACTCATGCTCTTCGGGGAATTTCTGTAAAATGAAGGAAAGACAGACGCTATAATTATTACAAATTTAACTATATACCATATTTATTATCAATCCACAGGATAATTTGATTGCTACATGAGCTCATAAAAGCTATTTTATCTTTACAAAATTAAAAAAAAATGTGCCACAAGGATGTAATAACTGCCAATAACCAAGAACTGAATCTTAAAATTATAAATTTGCTGTAGAAAAGATTAAAAAAAAACAATTATATTCACTTTAGAATTTTACTTTGAATAAAATATTCCCCTGTATAAAAATAAAAAAGCTTGCTCTGGTTAGAATTAGAGTATTTTTCTTTTCTAAATCTGGATATTTGCATAATATCTCTGTAATAGTTTTCTTTTTTTCTTTCCTATTGTACCACGCAGCATTCAAGCATAGAAGATTAGAAACAAACATGAGAAAAGCAATCTTAAATTGTATGAAATCCACTTGGGAAGTTTTACCTTCCTTTTCTTTACCCTCCTCCTCAAAGACATATTAACAAGAATAGCTTGGAAAAGAATACAGGTAAAAGTGGGGACCTTGAATGTGCCATTAATTCGAGCAAGGTAATAGAAGGCCTTTTTGTAAGTGCTTTTTAATAAGGTGCAGAAGCAGACTGCAACGTTTGCTAGTGCTGCACTATGTACATATTCACAATAGATCTTTATTTAAAAATATTCCAGCTACTTCACATTTTCTCTTCCATTCTGAGGCTTTCAGTTCCATCACAGCCTTGACTGTAAGAAGTGCATCAGCACCACTTCACTTGTGGTTGTTGGTCCTCTTATGCAGTACTGGAACTTATATAAGTGGGCCAGAGTTCTGTTTTCCTATGCAGTAACCTTGTAAATCCATCTGGTTTCAGGTATACATACTGATGGCTGGAATCCTGAGTTAAGAAAACTCCAGTACTGGAGTCGGCCACAGCAATGTTCTATATAATCAAGGCTTTCCCTTAGATTTGTCTAATGTGCATCAGAGATGCACCTCTTCTAGAGAAACATAAAATACAAAAACAAAAAAAAGCTAAAAAACACACAGCCAAAGGCTTAGCAGCTCTTGACTCTTGACTGGGTGATGTCTGATGTTTTCTTGATGACGCTAGCCCGTGCCTCCCGATCTGGCCTGTTACTGCTGGTAGAAGCTGTAGACACTACTTGTGGGAGAGGGATATCTGGGAAGGCGGGCCAGGAGTAAGGCAGTGAACAGGGTTCTTCTTTGATGGTGACCTGGAGGTCAGGCTTGTTAGAAGTCACAAAGGTAGCCATACTAGGAAGCAGATGGGAAGGGTTCCTCATCCCCATATTGCTCAAGTATTGTTTGCCTTCGATGTTTTTCTTTTGCCAGTGAAGCCGTCCCTGAGCGGAAAGAGACAACGAATGTGATTTTGCAAACTCTTCCAGCAGCTGGATACAGGGGCTGCTCTATCATCTCTTTCAACAATGACCTAAACTAAGCGTCTGCTTTTCAAATAATGGATCAGATACTAAGAAAAGGCCTGTGCTTCTAGCCTTTTATTATGCAACTTTACTATGCAAATCCAGTGGCAATTATTGCTATTGGAAAAGTTTTACTGTGTGCTGGGCTAGCTACTCTGTTGTCCATTGAGCTCATAGGGCATTGTTCCACAGAGCACTGGCTCCACCTCCCATACATGCACTAACCCCAAGTTCTACCTGGAGAGGGACTTGTACATTGGTGAGCTGGGTGAGCAGAGCTAATGCTCCACCTGAACTGGAAAAGCAAGCTGGAGGTGCTTCCCTTCTCCAGGCTGTCCAGACTGTCCCAGAGATCCTTTTGAGTTAGGCCCTCCTTTGTTTGCAGAAGCAGGAGGGAAAGTAACAATGACCCAGGGCTCAGCTTTGTTTTAGGGTCACTTCCCTCATTCATGCCCTGTAATTGGCAGCAGGTAGGAGCTCAGCTGTAGTACAGCATGCTGCTCTGCAAAAGGCTATTTTTTACACCCTTACTAATATTCTCTTCTTTTTATTGTGTGAGCTATTATCAGGACTGTGTGTGTTCACCCAAATCCTCATTTGCGAACAGGACTGATGGGACCTTGGTGAACTTCAAAGATTACGCACTAAGAAAGATAGCACTGCTGTGTATCTTCAAGCTTGTAACACAGAATTCTTTAATGGAAGGGGCTTTGCAGAGAGGCGTTTCAGGAACAGAAACCCTGAAGCCCTATTTTCAGCTGTTTTCAGCCTCATTTCTGGAGGGGGGTAGGGGATGACTAACTGCATGCTTTGCACATAGCCTTACATGTGCAAATGGACATACAGGCATGTTTAGTTACAAAAGTAGAGCATGCAAATAGAACAGTATTCTCCTAGGTTGCAAAGAACAATCACACAAAATTTTGGTGGTCTGTGTGTTCTCCTTTGACTTCTTTTCATTTAAAGCATGAGAGATTTGTCAGGAAATTTGCTAATCCCATATGCACCAAGCTTTCAAGAACCTATCGTTGTCATTATCAGGCTGTTTCCTGCCTTTGTATGAATCAAAATGACATGTAAGAAAACCCAAACAAGGATGTTTGTAACCAAGATAAAATACTAAAACTACTCTGCAGCAAGGACTAAGCAACCACAAACAAATACATACATACACATGTGCGTGCATGCACATGCACACAGCCTCTCCACTGATTTTCTTTCTTACAAAAATGTTATAACCTGTTAACATTTCTCTAAAACATAATTTCATGTTCCTATGTGAATTAGTTTACTTGTAATTTTGACAGATCAGGGGGGAAATCTACAGGCATTAATTTACTTTTGCAAGCACTTGAGCATTTGTTTCCACACAGACTGCTCTCCAACATTCCTCCCCTCCAGCCACTGTTAAAATTAATACTGACTCAATAGAAATGCATTAGCAGAAGGGACAAGAAGACAGAACCTCTGCAGGAGATGGCAATGCTTTTGAAAAATTGCTCTCAAGTGCTATAAAACAAAGTGCTTACCTCTGCATTTTCTTCATCACTGGGAATGCTGTCTGTCGTTTCACTTTCTGTTGGTCAAAATGGGAGTAAAAATGAAAATTGGCATTATTTTTACCAGAGTATTAAAATCCAGCTAACCTGATGCACTCCCCTCTAAAAACAAGAGGATTTTTAAGCTGCTTCCAGAACTGCAAAGCCTAAAAAAGTCCCCATATGCAGTGGAAAAAAAAAAAAAAAACAGTCCAAAAGATTTAATGCCCTGTCATGCATAAACTGATTTGACCTGTAATATAAGCCTATAAGTACAGGTTTCTCAATTTGGGAGCAATTATGCAAGATAAAATCACAAGGTTACCATAATAAATGTGTCTCTACACTGGAAACAGAACATACTAGAGGCAGAAAATGCTAAAGAAAAGCAGACAAGGTTAGCTGGGAAAATGTGATATCTTTTATTACACCAACTGACTAGCTGGAAAAATTGTTCTTTGCAAGCTTTTGGGTACTGGTGTTTGTCATGGACCATGCTGGGACAAGAAATGTAAAACCTGCCAATATAACTCTACCACTCCCACAGTAACTATGCCCCACAACAGAACTGTCACAATTCCTGAATCTAACACCTGCACCTCCAGAAATATATCTCATCCAGTGCACTATATGCCCTGATGGAAACTACATAGGAGAAACCAAAAAACTGCATACCAGAATGAACGCACACCGTAAATCTATCAAAGACAAAAATGCCCAATTACCTGTGGGTGCACACTTCTCACAAGACAACCACTCTCTCTCCAATCTCTCAGTTCTAATCCTCAAAGGGAATTTACAAAACACCTTTTGGAGACGAGCCTAGGAACTTCACTTCATAAATCTAATGGATACAAAAAGTCATAGACTAAATATAGACATTGGATTTATGGCACATTATAACCTGCCTACCATCCGATAACCCCAGGTAAACTCTCTATATTTTCCCAGCTACATTTTATCACCTGTGGACATTTCCCTCTTTTGTTCTCCCTCCCACCTGTCTCTCACTCATTAATTCCTATCCCCTCTGATCTTCCCTGCCATACATTTCCGTTTTCACAGACTTGCATTTTGTGTTACGGCTTAAGCTTCTATTCGACCCTAGAGAGAAGACAAAGACCAGAAGACTCTCCCTATGCCTGAGGAAGGGCGCCTGTGCCTGAAAGCTTGCAAAGAACAATTTTTCCAACTATTCAGTTAGTCTAATAAAAGATACCACATTTACCCAAATAACTGTGTCTACCTATGTCATTAGGCTAACATGGCTACAACCAACACCAAAGAAAAGCAGATGCACAAGAGTTGTATCAGTGCTTAACTTCAAGAGCAAATGACATAACGTACTTTTCTTTGAGAGATTATCTTATTAGAAGAGAAGAGCCCTCTCTCTCATTCATTACTGTGATTACTACCTGGAAGAGCAATATCTGGCCTGGCTTGGAGGTCACAATCAAAGTCCTTTCAAAGGCTTTTGTACTGTTTCAAAAGGCAAAATCTCAACCTAAAGTTTCCAAGAACTGGTAGGTAAAAATGCTTTTACTTTTTGCCTCAAGGGCTAATCATCTTTTCTTCAGTTTTATTATTGCTATTGTTAATCCCCATAGCTCCTCCACAACACATGCATACACTCCCTCCACTTCTTCCTGGACTGCTGCACCCACACTTCATCTTTTCTTTAACTGCTGCATTTACACATGCAGGCACACATGCACGCCCCTTCTACACATGTCAGTAAAGGCATGATTGGATCTAATGTGTGATCCACACATGTATGGCAGGAAGTGTGATTGTGGAATTGCACATTAGATTCAAAGTGCACCTTGCTGCCAATACAGAGGAAGCTCGATCCTAGGCTCCTCTTTACTAAAGGGGCTCCCAGCCACAGGGGCCATGCGCAGCTGGGACCAAGAGTCCCATGCCTGATGGGGTTCTCAGTCCTCGCTGCATCACAGATCAGATGAGGGGACTCTTGGTTCCAGCTGTGTACATGGCCCAGCCAGGACCAACAGTTTCACAAACCCCCAAGCTTTGGGGATCGTGGCTACTGCAATCTCCTGGGCCCAGGGGTTTCACGCTGGACATGGTGCACCCCTGTGGCTGGGAGCCCTGTCAATTGTCAGCACAGAAGAGACCTGCTACAGGTGCCAATTAAAGCTCAAAAGATTCATAGACTGTAAGGCTGGAAGGGACCTTGGAAGATCCTCAGGTCCAGCCCCCTGCACCAACCAAGAAAGATAACTGGGGGTCAGGTGACCCCAGCAGGGTGACTGTCTAGTCTCCTCTTAAAGATTTCCAGGGTAGGTGATTGCACCATCTCTGGAGGGAGCTAATTCCAGTCTGGACACCCTGACTGTGAAGAAGTTTTTCCTACTTTTGAGCCTGAATCGATCTTCCAGGAGTTTGTGGCCATTACTCCTGGTTTTTCCCTTGGGTGCCCTGGTGAACAGCAACCAGCTATAAAGTTAGGACACATTTTTTAAGTCTAACTTTATAGCTGGTTGGAGCTTTTTATTGTGTGATAAGTACTTTGCACGTGTTGCTGATCTTAAGGTAACCGCCCAATTAACCAGTGAATTGTGCAATACCTGTAATGTCTGGAGGGAGCCACGCACACATACCCCCCTCTCATCAACTGCTTCACCATTACATGTCTATACATTTTCTGTGGTTAGTAATCCCCAACCAGTGCTTGAGATGCATCTCATCATGCCCCAACCGATGCACCTCCACAATCCTCCTCATACCCAGGACATCTGCATAACCAGGCATGCGCACCAAAATCAGCCCCAGCCAAAAGGCCTGTGCACATGTATTCCCCCTCGCCATCCTCGTGACCACTGTACCTCCACACACACTGCACTCATAACCAGAACACTGCAGTTCCATGTCCCCCATGCATCATCCTCTGACCAATATCCCTCTGCAAACACTGCAATCTTGTCAATCTCCAACCACTTTATCATCCCTTCCTTGCTCTTTATATCCCACTTTTAGCCCTTCAACCACTGTACTGTCACACAATTTTTTATCATCCCCTTGACCTCTGCACTTTACAATGCTTTCATTATCCTGACTACTGTATTTCAATGTCCCCCTTTCCTGATTACTGCCCTGCCACCTACTCTTTCCTTTCTTCCTCCACAAACCAGAGCATCTTTGCATACGTACACCTTCATCCTCTAACCACTGCAGGTCTGTAACCTCCTTCTTCATACCTTTCACCATTCCCCTATCTATTGCCCCTCCACACACCCATACATCTCTTTGACCACTGCACCTCTTCAGATATCTCCATTTTATTCTTGATGTCTGCATCTCTGGATACACCTTCTTCCATCCTCACCCTAAAATACCTGCACCTCCTTACTCAACCCCCAATCATCTACTTGATCAATGTACCTCCACACATCCCCCCTCTCATCACTTGTCCTCCACACACACATACTGCCATCATCCTGACACTGCCATCATCCTGACTACTGATTAAAGAAGTCCTTTTTCAAATACATAGGGAGTGAGAAGGCACTGGGTAACGTGGGGTCCCTACAGCAGTGCTTCTCAAACTATCTGATGTGGCGGACCAGCAATTTTTTTTCCAGTGGGCCAGGGACCAGTGCCCGGTTCAGCCGGTGGCAGCAACTGCATGTAACAGCGCTACACAAATGAGCGACCGGCTGTTTCTTTCTCTTTCCTCACCTCGCACGACGTGACATCACCTAGACTGTTGGAACGTACAAACTGTGGCGCTATGACATATCAATGTTATGCTTATGAAAATGTATTTCTTTCTTTCCTGGCAACTCGCTGTGGACCGGCGACCGGTGGCTCGTGGACCGGCACCTTGAGAAGCACTGCTCTACAGGACAAGTTTGGCAATCTAGTGATTGCAGCAAACGAAAAAGCTGACCTCTTTAACAAATTTTTTGCCTACATATTCCTGAACAGGGATCAGGGCATTTCCCCCACTAGGATTATTGATGGACCCAGGGGAGGCACCACCATGCCTAGGGTCAGGGACAACCTAGTTAGGGAACTTTTGGAGGGGCTGGACATGTTTAAATCAGTAGGTCCAGATGCTCTTCACCCGAGGGTGCTAAGGGAATTGGCGGGGGTCATAGCAGGGCCCCTGGCACAGCTTTATGAGTGCTTGTGGGGCTCTGGCCAGGTACCAAACAATTGGAAAAGGGCCAATGTGGTCCCCATTTACAAGAAGGGGAGAAAGGAGGACTCAAGTAACTATAGGCCAGTTAGTCTCATCTCAGTCCTTGGGAAGACCTTTGAGAAAATTATCAAGGAGCACATCTGCAAGGGCCCGGCAGGGGAGATAATGCTCAGGGGCAACCAACATGGGTTCATTGAGGCAGATCCTGCCTGACTAACCTGGTTTCCTTTTATGATCAGGTCACAAAGTCCCTGGACAAGGGCGTTGAGGTAGATGTCATCTTTATGGTTAGGGCTGCCAGGCTCTGGAATGGACTTCCCAAGGAAGGTGGTGCTCTCTCCTATCTTGGGGGTCTTCAAGAGGAGGCTGGACCGATATTTGGATGGGGTGTTACGACCCCAGCACTTGTTCCTGCCCAGGGGTTGGACCTGATCATCTGTTTAGGTCCCTTCCAACCCTAAGCACTATGAAACTATGAAACTTCATTCTCCCCCCCCGCCCGATTTCTTCTTATTGCCCTTTCACAAAAACTCCACTCTTATGCTCCTCCAGCATAAGATGGACACATTCTTTTGATCTTCTTGATCAATGGACACATTCTTTTCATCTTCTTGAGGAGTGACCTCCACATATAGCACAACATCCTCATAACTTTTGCATCTTCACTCTCTCTCTCCCCCCAGCTTTTATTTCACAATGGTACCTGTATATAAAGAAGTTGCACTGGAACAGCTATAGCAGGATGACTGTTCCATTATAGCTATCCTGGTCAATTTTCTCATGTAAACAAGACCTAAAACTAGGGCTTTCAGTTCTGCTTTCAAGCCCAGATCTCTTGAGTGCCTGGACACAAAAATGCTACTGCTCCTGAAATTTGGCGAATTACACCCAACCATAAACTGTGAGGTCAAAGGAAAGGCAGGAGAATAATGGGCAGAAAAGAAGAGAATAGCATTTCATAATGACATGAAGAGAAAAAAAAAGCATGTGTAAACAAGAAGAAGGTAAAGAAACACAGCAAAGAAGGTGAAGCAAATGAGACAGAATCCATCAGCAACAAAATGCTGAGCGAAACATGCTTTGCAAGGAGGCTGGTTACTGAGGTGCAAAAAAAATTAAAGGACAGAGATGAAGGAAGATTATCTGAATCAATGTCACGCCAGATGAGAGATTGGCAAAGATTCTGTTGTACAGACTAGTAAAAATATCAGACAACCATACGCATCATTCGTATTAACAGCTTTGAAAAGGAGTTAGATGCAGTTTAGCAAAAAAAAAGGTTTTCTCTGGTACAACTGTCCATTTTTTAAGTAAGGCTAATGGTTTAAGACATGCTGTCATACTTAGTCTCTGCATGATAGACTTATGTCCTCACACTCAGTGATACTGCAGTAGGAGACAGAAGTGAGAGTATCCTGAAAATGTCAGGATTGGTGGCAGTCCTAACAAAACTTAGAGACTTCCTATTCTTCTTTCTGCCCAGAGAATCATTTGCACGCTTCAAAAAAATATTCATGGACCAGATTCCCAAGAGCTGCTGTGGCACTAACTCACAGGGTAGACAGGTGATTTAAATTCCCCTCTCAACTATCCTCATCATAGACTAGCTCTACCACAGGCAGGTACATAAGAATAAGTAAAACTAGCCTGCTCACATCTAAGATACCAACACAGCAGCAGGGACAGGGACAATACAACCAGGCCTCTTGTTTTCCCCATGTATACCTTCTAAGTTGACTACAAGGAGTAGTAATAGCATAAGAGTCACCATGTTGCCTAGTGGGAGACCTGTCTGCAGGTCTGGAAGGTGCAGAGCAGATGCATGCATTGACTTTGCTATGTTTTCAAATGATTTACTTTGATTGCATACATGAGCTGCAGAGAAGCACCTTTGCCATGCTGGCTCATAAAGGGAGAGTTTTGCAAAAAAAGTGCAAATGTTTCAAAGTACTGTCTCCCTTTGGTAATAAATTTTAAGGCAATTTACTGCCTTATCCTTCCCAAAGCCACACTGAAGTTCTGGAAATCCCTGACTAAAGACACTGGGAATGATGATCATATACCAACCTGTGGCAGACTAATGTTGGAGTAATCCCAAGAGAACATCATGATACTTGCCCTGACCTTAAGAGGTATTTTTAATGAAATTTTATCTGGAACTAATGTACCCCAATTTAAACACAAAAACATACATCAAGTCAAACATGAATGATTTCATATTAGTGTTGGTCTATAAGGACAACACTTCAGTTTACCCCCATCCTCCCGAGGCTTGTAATCAAGTTAACAGCACATTAAAAATGAAAGAAATGCTTTAAACTATTGCTACCTTTTCAGATTGGCTTTTATCAGTAGCTCCTCTGGCTTTGCATTCTGCAAATCAGCCTATAACAGACATATCCACTCTTCCTGATGCCTCCAATTACTCACTTTTCCACTTAGCCCAGTTGGGCTAAGCACAAAGCAATCATATTGCAGAGACCGTCCTTAAACTTTAGTCATCAAAGGTGTTTTATCAGAGAAAGAAAACTTTGCAGCATAGGTTGGCAATGCTCCCTTAATAAAAGATGTGTAGACCTAACTGCTTTACATCTACAAAGGTTTATTTTCTATTTGTCATGCTAATAAGGGCTACAAGATGACTTAACTGGAGCTTATGTTTCCATCTTAAAATAGATATGGATTCTCATTTCCCAGAGTAAAACTAGGGAAGATGTCTGTGAGTATTACAAGTCAGGTTCAGTAAAATTACTAGCAAAGTGTAAATCCCATGGCAAAGAAACCACCTTCCACCACCCCAATGGTGACAATGACTTAGGGCCATTCTATGGTACCCAATACTTTATTTTAAAAGCTTCTCAATCTCGTGCACGTTCTTCAGAGGAACAGCCATCAGCTTACCTGCATACGAGGAGACTGGGGAGATCTGCAGGGGGTACAACTGACTTATGCTCAGAGGCTGCTCATCACTCTCTGTTGTCACCTCTACCACTTGGCAAACATCTGGAGGATTGGCGACAATCATCTGCTCTTCAGTACTGCCGTCCAAGGGGGACTGACCTACAACTTCATCAGAATAAAGACAAGTTATTTAAAGACCTTTTGACTATTCAAAGATGCACGTGCAGGAAGGTGACCTTATGTTTGGGTTAATCAAGGTGAAAGCCCACTGTGCCCCCGCTCCCCCAAAGCCCCGCAGCAACCCCTAACAGCCACAGAGCACCCCGCTGACCCCCAGCACAGCCGGAGGTAAGTGGGGCCCGTGGTGGGAGGGGGTTAACCCCAGACAGTGGGAGGAGGCGGCTGAGTGGACCAGGAAGGGTCTCACCCCCACCCCGGCCCCTACTTCGCCCAGCCCCCCAGGGAGCCACGTGACCAAAGCCTCGCAAACAGGCCATGTAAACAGGTGTGCTTGTCTACCCGGCATGAGTTAGCGCGGAGATCGCACAGGAGGGCAAGCGGGAGGGCCCAAGGCCCTGCCTGTGCACCCCTACCCTAGGGAAGCCAGTCCCAGCCATAGCCAGGCCACCAGCAACATGACACAAATGGGCATGTGCCGCACCCCGAGGGTCCCCGAGGGGTCTGCGGCCCCCTCCTCTGGCGTCTCAGAGGCCTCCACGCAGACGGAGCCCCTGGCTTTTGGCTGCGGGGGCTGCCTGTTGCTTTTCAAGGCTCTGGGGCCTGGGGGCATGGGGACCGACCCTTGTGTGTGGGGTCTCTGGCGCGCCAGCTGGAGGAGCTCCAGGCCACAGTCCAGAGACTGTGCGCCATCAGGGACTGCGAGCAGGAGACAGACTCCTACTGCCAGGCCCTTCTCCCCTGTGAGGCGGAGGGTAGACCACACTCTCCCACCAGGACAAGGGAGGACCCAGGGACCTCCCATGCTGTCCAGCCAAGGGGATGAACCAAAGTGGTCAAGGGCCCTGAGGCCCGCTACACCAAGGCCCCTGCCCCGCTGGAGCTATGCAACAGGGACAAGCCTCTTGCAGCCCCAGCTGAGCCTGCTGCGATGCCAGCTCCGCAGGCAACATGGGCACGACTGTAGCTACCGCCCCCGCTCTCCCCAAGACAAAACGTAAGGTGTTCGTCGTGGGACACTCCATCCTGAAGGGGACTGAGGGGGTAATCTGCCGCTCCGACCCCTTAGCCTGGGAAGTGTGCTACTTCCCAGGAGCCTGCATCCAAGACATTGGGGAGAAGAGTCCTAAACTCCTCCAGCCCACTGACCATGCTCCTCATCCACGTGGGCACCAATGACATGGCTTGGAGCACTCCCAGGCGGGTCATGAGGTGCTACAGGGATTTGGGAGTGGGGCTAAAGGGTCTGGGGGCACAGGTGGCGTTTTCTTCGATCCTCCCAGTCTGAGGCTACGGGCTGAGGCGGGAGAGGAGGATCCAGGTAGTCAACCAAAGACTGCGGTGCTGGTGTCATCGGGAAGGCTTTGCTTCCATGACCACAGTCCGCTCTTTGGTATGAGAGGCAGCGAGCTGCTGGGAAGGGACGGCCTCCACCTCTCTCTGCTGGGGAGGAGGCTCTTCTCAGCTAGACTGGCTGACCTGCTCCACCAGGTTTTAAACTAAGCCCGCCGGGGAGTAGGTGGACTACTGCCACTGCTGGCCCGCTGAGCAACCCTTGCAAAGTCAGCAGGCCAAGGCACTTAAGGGAGCCCACCCCTGCCCCAGCCCTGGTACAATCTGTGGGCAAGGCAAGAGCCCCCAAGGGGACACTTGCCTGCCTGTACATAAATGCCAGGAGCTTGGGGAATAAACAGGAGGAACTTGTCCTCCTGCTAAATGCAAATAACTATGATGTCATAGGGATAACGGAGATCTGGTGGGACTCCACCCATGACCACCCACGACTGGACCACAGGTATAGACGGCTATACCCTGTACAGGAGAGATTGAGGGGACAAAAGGGAAGGGGGCGTAGCTCTCTGTTAAGGAGAGCTACACATCCCTGCAAGCTGATATTGGCAACCAGGGTGGACGACTAGAGACCCTCTGGGTTAAAATCTGTGGGGAACACAGCACAGGGGACACAACAGTGGGAGTCTACTACAGACCTCCCACCCAAAGTCAAGAGCTTGACCAGACGTTCTTCGGGGAATTGGCTGAAGCTGCATGCTCCAGGTCCATGGTTGTCATGGGACACTTCAACTACCCAGACATCTCATGGGAAGAATGCTCAGCTAAATCAGAGTGGTCACAAAGCTTCCGCTCATGCATGGATGACCTCTATCTGACACAAGAGGTCTATGGACCAACAAGAGGTAAAGCGCTGCTCGACTTGGTACTGGCAACTGGGGACGACCTAAATCAGCAACCTAACGATTGACGGGAAGGTGGGTGACAGTGATCACGAGCTGATCACCTTCACCATCCGCCGTAAAGCTGGCAAGTCAGTCAGCAATACAGAAGTCCTTGACTTCAGGAAAGCTGACTTTGACAAGCTCAGGAGGCTTGTCGATGAGGCCCTAAGGGACCACGACCCCAAGAGGAGGGCAGTTCAGGAAAAGTGGTTGCTCCTCAAGGGAGTAATCCTCAAATGCACAAGCTAAGGCTATTCCATCTCGGAGGAAAGGCAGCAAAAGGGCACAGCAGCCCCCTTGGCTCTCCAGGGAACTAACGGACCTCCTGCGGCTAAAAAGAAAAGCCTACAAAGGATGGAGGATGGGATCCACCTCCAAGGAGGAATATTTTTCACTGGTCCGGTCCTGCAGGGAGCAAACCAGGAAAGCCAAGGCTGCGACAGAACTCCAACTAGCTACAAGTATCAAGGACAATAAAAAGTCCTTTTTTAGATATGTGGGGAGCCAGAGGAAAAGCAAGGGCAACACTGGACCCCTGCTAAACCAGATGGGACAACTGATGACCGACGCCCAGGAAAAAGCCAACCTATTAAATGGGTACTTTGTGTCGGTCTTTCATCAGTCCCACAGGACTCCCCTGCCCATTACGGGACAGGGAGGCCTGGGTGAGGGAGATTCCCTGCCCTCCATCAATATTGACCTCATGAAGGAACACCATGAGAGGCTGGACACCTTCAAGTCAGCTGGCCCTGACAACCTACACCCCAGGGTACTCAAGGAGCTGGCGAGCATCATAGCCCAGCCCCTTGCACGGATCTTCGAGAACTCCTGGCGCTCTGGTGTAGTGCCCAAAGACTGGAAGAAGGCCAGTGTGGTGCCTATCTTCAAGAAAGGGAGGAAAGTGGATCCGGCTAACTACAGGCCCATTAACCTGACCTCTATCCCGGGGAAGGTCTTAGAAAAAATTATTAAAATGGCCATTCTTAACAGACTGGCTGATGGCAACATCCTGAGGGATAGCCAGCACGGGTTTGTTATGGGTAGGTCTTGCTTGACCAATATTATTTCCTTTTACGACCAGGTGACCTATCACCTGGACAAGGGAGAGGAGATTGATGTCATATATCTTGACTTCAAAAAAGCCTTTGATCTGGTATCCCATGATCACCTCTTGGCAAAACTGGCCAACTGTGGCCTCAGGTCCACCATGATCCGCTGGCTGGGGAACTGGCTCCATGGTCGGACCCAGAGGGTGGTGGTTGACAGAAGTCAATCGTCACAGTGCCCTGTAACCAGTGGGGTCCCCCAAGGCTCTGTCCTTGGAGCTATATTGTACAACATTTTCATTAATGATATGGACACTGGAGTCAGAAGCTGACTGGCCAAGTTCGCTGATGATACCAAACTCTGGGGTAAAGCATCCGCACCCAAGGCTAGTAAAGCAACCAAAACGCTGGCTTGCATCCATAGATGTTTCTCAAGCAACTCCTGGGACGTCATTCTCCCCTTGTACTCGGCCTTGGTGAGGCCGCAGCTGAAGTACTGCGTCCAGTTTTGGGCCCCACAATTCAAAAAGGATGTGGAGAAGCTTGAGAGAGTCCAGAGAAGAGCCACGTGCATGATCAGAGGTCAGGAAAACAGACCTTATGACAACAGGCTGAGCCATGGGACTCGTTAGCCTGGAAAAACACAGGCTCAGGGGCAATCTGATGGCCACCTATAAGTTTATCAGGAGTGCTCACCAGGATCTGAGGGAACGATTGATCACCAGAGCGCCACAAGGGATGACGAGGTCGAACGGTTATAAACTCCTGCAAGACTGTTTCAGGCTGGACATAAGGAAGAATTTCTTCACTGTCTGAGCCCCCAAGGTCTGGAATGTTCAGGCACCTACACTGAACACGTTCAAGAGAAATTTGGATGATTTTCTTGCTGAGATCCAATGACCCCAGCTGACTTCCTGCCCCTCGGGCAGGGGGCTGGACTCAATGATCTTCCGAGGTCCCTTCCAGCCGTAACGTCTATGAAATATGAAATCTATAAGATGTCTACTCTCCTCTCATCCTTTCCTGACTGTTTCCAACAAGGCTTCCAAGGGAAATCAGTGAGATATTTTCAGTCTCCTTTCCCTTTTTACCACCATGAATGGTTAAACCTCACTTGGATCATGCAATATTAGTTTTGGAGCCCTACAGGATTATAGTATCCTTAAGGGCATTCCTATTACCTACCAGGCTGAATATACAAAATAAACGTGAACCTGGTTGGACACCAAAGCAGTAAGTTTGGGTCTCCCCAGGGCCCAAAGAGTTCTACAGTGTAGTCTACAGCCACATTGAACTTTAATACAGATACAAGGCTCCAACAGAGTAATCGGGGGTTAGCAAGCAATGCTCCAGATCCACTACCTGCTGGAACTAGTGATTACTGTAGGCTGCCTTTTTGTGTTGATGATAAAGGATGGCTGCAATCTGTTCCTGTTAATGTAAGATAGATGCAGTCCCTGGCATGTTGTCAGTACTCTGTGGACTTCGGATGCCCTCATATAGACCATGCACTGTAAAGGCACAGGAGTTCAAAACTCAGTTACAAATGGTTGGCTAAATTGATTTCTAGTGTAACTGATGCATGTATGGGCTGGATCTGGTCCAGAGTTTTTTCCTGGAGATAGGAATGAGGCATGGTCTCCTTTTAGCACTCTTACTGTATGCTGCAATACCACATTTAGTACGTAAAAAAAACAATATTGGACAGGTATCCTATAATCACCACAGTCTGTGACTGAAATGTACTTTGTGATTTCCTGTGCTGAAATCCAGTTACTTATTAACAAGGTTTTTTCCCACTTGAACAGATCAATGCTGTTCAACACCTCAGTTGACAAAAGGGACACTGTTTTTTCTCTATAAAGTTGAAGCAGATGGTAATGTTTTGCAAGCCTTTAAATCACTTTACAGACACTGTTTAAGCCACTCAGTACCCCAGTGAGACAGGTAAATAAATATTCCATCTTCTTTACACATATATAAATAAAGGCACCAAGGATAGCTGATTGAATCCCTTTAGATAAAAGCACCCAAAAGCTCTGCTGAGGCCTGTGCTCTATACAGATGCTGGAGAGCCGGCTTGAACGAATGCCTCTTCAGGTAAAGCATGTTTTTTCTTTTTTTTCCATCTCTGTCAGCGCCCCAAGAGATTAGCTGACATAGTGAAACAGCGGTAAAAGCCAAAAAGTAGTAAACCCAAAGCTACTGGCTTCCAGTCAGGTCTTCATACCACTAGCTGGAACTCCCTGCTTTTACAACTTCTGTTTCTTCCAGATATGTACAATATCAATAAAGAACAAGTACTTTAATAAAATGCATCCTCTCTATGGAAAACATATGGGAGATTATATCATGAACATCTAGTTTATAATATGCTGTCTGTCACTACGCTAGTCCATGGAAGTTTTTTAAAATTAATGGGGAATCCCACACCAAAGTGAAATACAATTGATAAGCAGAATCAGTGTACAAATCTAAAATAAAAGCTTAGGGCTGGTGCTGATCTCACGAGGGCTGCTTAGCATCCACAATCACTGGAGACAAGAGGGAGAGGTAGGGCATACATTTTTGCTTAAACATATAGGGTCAAATCCAGCAACAGTTACTCAGTTGCATTTCAGAGTGCCCAATGTTAGATGCTTCAGGAAGGAAGGTGAAAAAGTAACCATAAGGAACACAGCACACACTATAATCTGGTATCATGAAGGATGCAAGGGTTACATTTATTTACTCACTGATGACAGACCTTTAAATTCTTCTCTGAAGTGACCTCCTCTCAAATCTGCATCAGGCTTCCCCCGCAGTGGAATAATTGTATGTCATTTTGTGTTTTGAAGAGACAAGATGCTACTTTGAAAACATCCCCAAACCAGGGCTTGGTTATATGGAGGCTTTCCCATAACTTTGCACAGACACTGAATAGTCGCCTTAAAAGGAGCTCAATTACTAGTTACTACTGTATTGCTCCAAGTACTTGTTTCCATTGTAAAGAACATTCTTCCTGGTTCTCAAGTAATATCTGCTTTTATTGAATAAGGAGGAACACATGCCACAGTAATTTTTATCACTATGAAACCACTGTGTTGTGCAATGCTGTTTTGCTACGAGCGCTCTGCCTTCATAGCCGTATCTTACTCTTCAGTATCTGGAGAATTCTTACTGAACTCCAAGAGATAATGTCAGTGCTCATCAGCAAAAATACTGCTAACTTGGGCAAAACACTACTGACTTTTTCTTGGATGCACAATTCTAGAAACACTCCAGGTGTCACCTCCTTCTTTCCCTCACCTTTCAGCTGCCCTCCCAGACACGTACAGGATGAATCTACTCTGCCTTTTATGCTGTTCACGCTGAAAAAAAGTGTTTGGAACAGTATAGAAGGATTCCCCTTCCCTAGCTTATGTAGGCAGTACACACTGGGAGTCAGTAAACCAGAAAGTGCACTGCCACAAAAAGGACACCCTCAATTACAGATCAAACTGCATATGCTTTATTCAAGAAACAGCCTGAGATGACACGTGTGTGTGAATGGAATAACATTTGGCCATATATTTTCTTATAGGATTATTTGCCATGGGAAATAAAGCCCTAAAACATATGAATTAGAATCCTTTGGTCTTAATTTCCTTATTTTTATTATAGCACATAGATCAAGTTCTTTTTTTAACACTAATATCCCTGTGGGTCTTGTGAACTATTGAGATCCCCTCATGTGTCATGCAACATGCATTTAATTCTAATGAAGTTAAATAGGAGCTTACAGCACCTCACCAAACCTAACTGGTCTAATCCAGAGCCCACTGAACTAAACAGATACATCTCCCACCAACTTCACTGGACTTTGTTCAGGATCAATGTGGTTCATAAAGGATTTAAACTGTGCATTGTTTGACTGAGAGGTTATTAAATAAAACAAATCAGTAAAAAGCCTCTTCTGGCTCCACATCAGCATCTGGGTATTTTTCACATTTTAATTTTGCTCTTAATTAGGCAAAATATTACACTACAGTGCTGGTATTTCTCTAAAGTTAATTAAAAAACCCTCTGTAATACTAGGAGCAAAAATATCATGTAATATGCTCACAGGCCAATTAAATCTATTGACCCCTGGAAAGGGAACGTACTCTAAAAATTTTTCATCTACAAAAAGGACTTTGGTAGAAAAGCTTATATTTTGCTCTGTGAAATAATAAAAAAAAGTCATAAAACCTAATAATTGTACGTAAAAACCTATCGCCTCTGCCACAGAAAATTAACATATTTTCAAACACTTCAACTTGCACGGAGAAAAAGAAATTCTAGGACAAGCAGTACTTGGATTACATTTCCAGAAGCACTCATTGTAATGACAACTACAGCCAACAAAGAGCTGTCAAAACATATCCCAACTTATGTTATCAAGGACCAATTATCCACATTCTAATATGACAGTGAACTGCTAATGCACTAGTTTGAAATACAATTTTCATTGATCCCTGTTACTAGCACTGTGATGTTAACATATATGCTACTGCTGTGTTGCCAGTAAGAACAGTTTAATGTAGATTGAAAAAAAATACTAACAAAGCAAAGTAAAACAGCCACCTTTAAAAAGCCCTCAGGTCTTCTTGGGAGTCAAAGGAATGTTTAGCACCCTTTAGGTCCCAATTTTATGCCCCAATTTTACTCCCTGCCTTGTACTGGATAAAATATCCTTTCACAGCTCAGGGGAGCTATATATGGCTGTCTCTGGAGTGGTTAATGTCAGGAAGGACAGCTAGGGAGTGATGAAAGGCACTCTGTTCTCAGAAGATGAGTATGTCATTTTATTGCTTGTAGCAAATCTTTAAGGCCACCAAGCTTATTCTATTAACTCCATTTTATAATTGTATCCTACTCTCCAAAATATCAAATGCTGTTGCTAAGATCAGTTTCATGCAGCTACCTCTGCTGTTCTAGAGGGTGGGGACAGAAGTAACTTTTGAAATGTTTCCGATTGAGACATGCTTAGAAAAGTTTAAAAAAGGAATAGGTTCAGCTGGGAGACACGTGTATGATCCCCATGACATTCCCCACCTGGAATGTTTAAATGCAGCCAAGAGGTGCTAGAGGAGGCTCTGCCCCCCCTTCCTCTCTTCCCTATGTCCCCCATGGGGAAGGGAAGTAGAGGGCAGGGGAGTGTAGAGAACCAGAGAGGAGAAGCAAGCAGAGTGGGGGAGAGGTAATCTCTGCCATGGGGATTCCAATTCTCCAGACCTAAATCCCTCAAACCTTTCCTCTCCCCTCTCAGAGAGGAGGGGTAGAGAGGACTGGGCCTGGAGGGCCCAGCTCCAAAGCCAGTGTGTGTCCAAGAGTCAGCAGGAGTCTGGGAGGGGAGGTAAGCCCAAATTCAGCTCCAGCCCCAATCCACCTCCCTGCACACAAATAACAAAAAGTGAAAGAGTCTAATAAAAGGTATCACAACTACCCAAAAAACCTTGCCTGCCTATGTTCTTAGACCAACACAGCTACAGCTGAAAACCCACTAAAATAGTACCTTGTTTCAAGAGCTCTTCCACCACTTTTGAAATGGTTTCCAAGGGCTTGAAACATTTTGATTATTTCTGTCCGCATTCTCGGATATCATCAATTAATGACACTGAGTTTAAAATCACCTGCAAACTGGTTTTAGCATCAATGAGAAGTATGCTCTAGAAACACTTACCTACAATGTTCACCATACTGTCAGCTTCATTTTTTATACTGGAGGACAGGAAGTAGTCAGATGTGACCTCACTTATCCCATTAGTCCGTTCAAAAGACGATTCTACTGGCTCTTGCTAAAAGGGAAACAGTGGAACTGTATTAGGTTTGATTTATTTGGGAAGCTTTGATTCAATCCATCTCTTTCTGACAAGACCACAAATTCTCAAGTTAGTTTTTGCCTGTTACATACCTATTACCCAACTTAGAACTAGGTCTAAACTCAGTTCCCCAAAGGGAAGACAGAGCTTACTCCATTTCCAAGTGTTCTCCATTTAAACTGAAGTTAAAAGTAATTCTCTATATTGACAGCATGTCTTCAAAGAATTCCTTTAAAGTGATAATCCTTACTAAAAAGAAAAATCTGGGACAAGGAAAAGTGCCTTAGAACAGCACTGTTTAACATTCATCTTCACCCCTCTGCAAACATACAGTACCTCTAAGCACCTTCTGAAAGAATGCCTCAATTTCTGTGCAGTGATTACTAAATTTTATCCTTGGTTTTTCTCTACAGCAAGATACCAAAACAAACCAAAACATTTACTCTAAATCAAGCCTTCGAGGTCACATCATAACTGTTACCAAAGGGCAATTCTATTGTGAAAACAACACCTGTTCTCTGTACAATTTGCTATCTACAAGATGTATTTGTAAGCATCTGTTACATGTCAGTTGGGGATATATGTGACTCTATTTGGAATAAACTATAAGAGTTATCAATTCCATAAAGGCCATCATCATTTTTTAAAACAGGGATTAACTCCATGACCATTCTTTCCCTCTGCTGGATCCTTGACAAGGACCATCGCTTACAAAAGTATGAAAATCTTCCGATTTTAGACTAGGAAAATCAGCGTTAAAATTAAGGCCCCGGTTCATTGCTGCCTTGCAACTTGTTTCTTTCACACAAAGTGCAAAAAAGTGAGTGCAAAGGTGAGTGAAAAAAAATCTGCCATTCTGATTTGGCAGCATTTTATACCAATTTGCAATAGTATAAAGTACTTCAGGCAAAGACTAGTCCCAAGTATTCATAGTGAAGGGGGAGAGGTATTCATAGGCTGGGAATGGAAAATACATAAGTCCCTGAGATCAGTGTCAGACAGACTACACTCTTATAATTAGCTCCATTTTTGGACAGTGTTTGGCAGTTTAGCTGTAGCATTACCCATCAAGAAGTTAGATTTTTTTGTCTCAATTCTCATTTATGCTAAGGCCAATTTGCATTTTTTTAACCATGACTGAAACAGACTCACCCTAAAATAGCCACAGTCGGGCAGCAGGGCACTCTCTTGTGATGGAAAAGACCTCAGTTCAAGCCCTTGTCTCAAATCAGGCAGGGTGGGGGGGGATCTGTAAATAGGTTTTCCACTTCTCAGGTGATTAGTGCCCTAAACCAAAACCCAAAATGGTATATAATATCTGAAGAAGGTGACTCCAACAAACTTTGCACAAGCAGAGCAGTCAGGGGAACAGCTAGTCTGAGAATCATGCTGGGGTATAGGATCTGAGCTGCTCAGTGGTTTCAAGACTTAGACTACCTTATATATGCCCACCAGCAGAAAATGAGGAACTTAAGGACTTAGGTGCATACAAGAGTGGGCTGTAGTAGAGAAGGGAGGATTTAGGGATCTCAGTGGTGTCTAATTATTTGACTTGGGCAACAAAATGTGGCAGTTGGCTCCTAAATCCCTTTATGGGTAAGGCCTTTAATCCTTAGGTTTTTCTCCATCTGTGTATTTTACACCACAGAAATACCTCAGACACTTTAACAGGAATATATGGAAATAATAGCCAACTCATCTTCATTAGAACTAAACAAAATGTTATAGGTGCAAAGCTTTCATGAAAATAATACCCCCAGTATCTATATCACTAAGGAAAGAGTTTTATAGACATGAACACTGCAAGTATGTTTTATTTGTCAAACAAATATACCAATTAGTTCATCCATCACCTATCTGTCAGTGAAGGATCCCTGTTACTCCTGCATTAATTGATGACATTCTAATGGCTGCAGAGGATAAAGATGGCATTCATTTTTAAAAAGACACATTTTAAAATTGGCTTATGTATACAGTTGTTAAAATAAACCTGAACAGCCTGGGACAGCAT